AATTCAACCGAGGTAATCAAAAGGGAGATGGATCACTATTTGAAAAGGATTGTATGAAAGGCTGCAAGGAAAAGGTGGGGCAAGTGATACCAGCTGAAATGCTCCTGCAAAGATCCAGCAGAAAAAAAATGGATCAAGTGACCTCCATCTTTATTGTTATCATTTGTGGTGAGTTCAAGCACTGGGGCAGATCTATATCACAAAATGGTCTCCTATTCAGTATAGGAGCCTAACCTGCATATTTTAATCATCAGCTTAAGACATTCTGATGTCTTCTTTGGACCAAAGGAGAAGTCTGAGTGAGGATTAGATGTGGTATGGTGCAGGTAGCATATTTCTAGTTTTTCAGTGTACAGGCTTCCAGTCGATCGTATTCAATGTTTCTACCTCCATTGAGAGCTATTTAGTGCTGGGACAGGATGATATAATTTTTAGGTCACAGTAACATTTGCCATAATGAGTTATACTTTATAAATAATTTTTTCCAGTTTCAATATTAGCTGATGTAACTTCCTTTACGATGACTATTAATTTCCTGTCTGCGAACAAAATACTTTCTTACGATGGAAATAGGGTAATATTTTCCATTTCTGCTGTATTTTTAGTCCTGTCACAAGCAAATTGAATTTACAGCAAGTTTTTGGCATTTACTTTTAAATATTATTTATATGTAATTGCAGTAGTCTGTCCTTTAAAATGGAAGAAATTTTGGTTGGTACATGTAATTCCTGATGCAGGAATTCTGAAAAATTACTGTCTGTTCCGAAAACTGGACCATTGAAGTGCTTTTGCTAACCATTCTATTCTGGAATTTTAATCCTTCTGAGATTTACCAATGTACACTCATCTTATACTGATTACAGAAACCACTGCAGTACAAATAAGATTTCAGCAATCAAAATGGATTTTAGATATCAGGGAGAAATTGGTCTGTAACAAATGGGGAAAGCTTTACAAATATTATCCATTGTTGAAATTACCATACAAATAATATATTTTAAATTACAAACATATCGGTTTTAAAATAAATGTTAAAATTTATCTTCTGTGTGCTTCTTTTGAATGTTAAAACCAAAACAAATGATAAGGTAATGGAATAGCTGTGGTATGTCAGTTTCAGATCATGGATTATCAAAAGCTTTAGGGATTTTTTAAAAATTCATTCACGGGATGTGGGCACCATTGACTAGGCCAGCATTTATTGCCCATTAGGCAGTTAAGAGCCAACCACATTGCTGTAGGTCTGGAGGCACATGTATGCCAGACCAGGTAAGGGCAACCGTTTACTTACCTAGAGGACATCAGTAGCATAAGATTACAGTAAATGCATGCACTTTTTTTTATAATAGTTAAGTTAAAAGATATTTGGGACTGATGTTAGTTTGAAATAGGCAATGGGCTGAATTTTACCAAAAACTGGCTATGTGTCATTTTCATGGAGGATTCTCATGCTAGTTTTCTCATGCAGTTTTACACTGCTCACCCTATATGTGTACCATGTCTTTATGGCATCTGCTCATGCTAACTTGAACTCACTAACAGTAGAAATGCTCATCACTGCTAGTACCTTGAGGGATTTCCAACACCCATACCATAATTAAAATCCTGCCATGCACCAGGTCAATCACTGTCAGCCACGAACTGCCCTTCACAGTTGTTGTGTCAGAAAAATTGGCCGGAAATGGATGACTGAGGTAAGTAGACACTGTGATTCATTAACAGGGACCTGGCAGTCTTTGTGGATAGGATTATCAGAACCACCATAGAAGATCACAGCACCCAATGCTTTCAGCCTGGTTGAAATTGCCGTCCACGTCAGTGCAGTATCCACAGTTTGGAGGAATGTGTAGATGTTGTGTTGTCTCCCCAGTCACAAATGTTTTCTCCACTGCATCCCAGCATATTGCCTCTAATCCCACAAATAACTTCTCCAATGTCCCCAGGACAACTGTGGTCCCTCAGAACCTCCCTTTAACTTTGAATGATCAATCCCCCTGGACTGACGACGGCCCAAACCCCGACCTACTCGGAACAAAAGCTCCAACGGATAAATGACCAGATCCCTAACTGATCTCTGTGCAGCTCTCCAACTGACTTACTGTGAATCCCCAGAACTTGCAGGACGGATCGTGGCCCATTCCCCAGTAGTAATGATATGGACCCTCTGTTCCTGAACACCCCAAATGGGGGACTGACCATGTCTCAGCTTTGGACTAAGATCAGACGAGGTCCTTGACTTTGTGTACAACACCTCCTGACTGAAGACAATCACCATCAAGAGACAACAAGGTGCAGGGCTGGATGAACACAGCAGGCCAAGCAGCATCACAGGAGCAGAGAGGCTGGCATCCTTAGAAGAGGCTTCGCAGTGGGGTTAAAATTGAATCAGAGATAGTAGGAACTGCAGATGCTGGAGAATCCG